TGCTCATGAGTTTGTTAAGTCTTGTGAAGCATGTCAAAGGGCAGGGAACATCACAAAGAGAAACGAGATGCTTTAGGTGCCGATCTTTGAAGTTGATGTATTTGATGCTTAGGGGATTGATTTCATGGGTCCATTCCCATCTTTTTACGGCAACAAATACATCTTGGTGGCTGTTGATTATGTGTCAAAGTGGGTTGAGGCTATAGCTTCCCCAACTAATGACTCAAGGGTGGTGGTTAGGCTCTTCAAGACCATCATCTTCCCACGGTTTGGAGTTCCCAAGGTAGTGATCAGCAATGGGTGCAGCCACTTCATCAACAAAGTGTTTGAAGGTCTCTTTAAGAACTATAGAGTGAAGCACAAGGTAGCTACATCTTATCACCCACAAACTAGTGGGCAAGTAGAGGTCTCTAATAGACAGATCAAGGCTATCTTAGAGAGGACAGTGGGAGCAACTCGGAAGGATTAGGCAAGTAAGCTAGACGATGCTCTTTGGGCGTATAGAACCGTCTTCAAGACTCCTATTGGTACCACTCCCTTCACTCTCCTTTACGGCAAGGCATGTCACCTCCCTGTGTAGCTAGAGCATAGAGCACTGTGGGTAGTGAAGCAGATGAACTTCAGTCTCAAGACGGCACAGGAGAAGAGGTTGATTCAACTCCATGAGCTTGATGAGCTAAGGCTAGGCGCTTATGAGAGCGCCAAAATCTACAAGGAAACGACTAGGGCGGTTCATGACAAGATGTTGGTGCATAAGGAGCTTAAGGAGGGCAGTCTGGTCTTGCTTTATGACTCACGCTTGAAGTTATTCCCTGGAAAGCTCAAGTCTAGATGGTGTGGACCTTTTGAGATCAAGGAAGTTCTACCCTATGGAGCGGTTACTTTGGTTGGCAAGAGTGGAAAGGCTTTCACGGTTAATGGGCATAGAGTCAAGCCCTACCTGGTGAGTGAATGCAGCAAGGAGAGCACCACCGTGCTTCTCCAAGACCCACCTCTAGCCTAAACCAAGTAAAGTCTAGCTAAAGACGTTAAAGAAAGCGCACTTGGGAGGCATTCCCATGTCTATCTTGTACATATTTTTGCTTTCTTTCTATTTCAGTTTTATGCTTTTTATGTTTAAGTGTGTAGGTGAAAGGATAAGGGATTGTAGATCATGATCTTGGAGTCAAAGGAGGCAAGGAAAGGAGAGTTAGAGGCAAGAGATCGAGTGCTAGATCGACCTATTCTGGTTTGATCTTTGCTAGATCAAGCTAGTGAATCGAGTGAAGTCCCTCAATCTAAATGAGATCGAGTGGACAATCGAGTGAGTCAGTCGATTATGAGAGGATAAACCACCCATGAGTTTAGCTTGAAATGCAAACGGGGGGTGGATCGACTGACCTCACTCGATCCTCTGGCTGGATCGATCAGTTGACTCGATCTGCCACTCGATTCTTGCCCAAACGACCCCCAAATCGATCACGTGGCTCGATCCAAGGAGCATAGCTTGGGTGACTAAGAATCATGGAACGAGGGGGCACACTCGATCTAGAAGTCGATGCAATATGAAGCGAGTCTCTAATCGATCAACCCTCTCGATCCTAGTCAACATGGGCATGAGATCGAGTCCTAGATCGACCAAAAGGACTCGATCTCATGCCGAGGTAAGTTTGTGTTTGCCCTCTCTTTTCTATTTCCCTCCTATTTTAAATTCAAATCTTGGTCAAGGCAAGCATCTTTGACCATGAAAGATGTGCTTTGAACAACTTTGTCAGAAAACCAGTTGCATAATCCATAGTTTTCTTTGCCTTTAAATTCACATGCATCCACACTCTCTCTCTCATTTGTGTTTCGAGTTTTCTAAAGAAAGAGAGAGTGTGAGTTTCTGTTTTTAAGGCTAATAGCTTCTTGCTTTCATCTTTTCAAAATGTATTTCGGTTGTCTGATTTGCTTGTTTAAAATTTTTGGAAAATTACCTTTTGATTGCTTAGGATGATTGTTAGTTGTTAGGAAATTAGGATAATTTTTAGAAATAGCTAAATATTATGAAAATTGCTAGATTTAATCTTATCTCTAGATATTCTTCTCTAGTATTTAGCTATATTTTGTTTTATAAATTTCCTAAAAATCTAGGATTATTGTTATAAGTTTTTCTCTCCTACCTTGTCTTTCTCTTATATTCGCCGCCTATACTCATTCTCTTCTTTGAGATTTGTGTTTCAGGTACCAATGGCACCAAAAAGGAGCAGAGATGAGACAACACAAGGAGAAGGAACTCAAGAAGTGGTTCAGGAGAGGGTTAGATGGACAAAGGAGGAGAAACAAGCTAAGAAAAGGTTGGAGAGGCTCCGGTTTGACCCGACAAAGTTTGCGAGCAGGGATCTGTTCGCAAAGATGGGGATATTGGGAGATTTTGATCAGCTTCTCAAGAACATTGGGCTCCGGTGCTTGTCAAGGATGGATTGCCCAACCTATCCCGAGGTAACCCTAGACTTCTTAGCCACCTTGGAGTTTACCTACGAGAATCCAAGCCTCCCCACTCCATCACAAGGTCACATCACCTTCAAGATCAGGACGCAAGCTTACCACCTTTCCATCCCCGAACTATGCCAAGCCTACGGTCTGAAAGCTAGTGGCAAGCTTGTAGAGTTTCCTCCTTTCACTCAAGCCAACAACCTATGAGATTTGATCAGCAACGATGACTACAAGGCTAACACGGCCAAGATCAAGAGAGTCTGCAGCCCCTTGCTGAGATACACCCTCAAGCTCATAGCCAACACTTTCAGCGGAAGGTCCGTGGCTCCAACAGTCACCAAGAATGAGTTATGTTTTCTCTTCCAAGGCGTTAAGCACCTTCTATGTGATCCTAAGGAGAATGACGAGCCGATGGAAGATGAGCTTGGAGATGATGTCAATTATGGATGCATTTTGGCTTCCTCTTTGATCAAGTACAAGGCGTGGGCAATGAGGTGCCTTGCGCGGAGAGAGCCTTCATGGATGAGACATACATGCACAACACAGACTCCTTGGGACGCACGCCAGCTGAAGGCTTCTTTGCCTATCTGTTCTACAATTGCGAGAATAAGAAGAGGGTGTGCATCTTGCCAAACAAAGAGGAAACGGAGCTGCTAGGTGTTGGCAACATATAGTTTCTGCCGAGCCGCGCCACCACAAGCTGCTCGTCCGCGTTCAGAGTCACCTCCCTCCGATGCTGAGATGCCAGCTAGCTTCGACCATCCCAAGCTTGACTACGAGCCAAGGACCAAGGCGGAGAAGTTTCTTGCTTCTGTTGTGGAGATGCAGCGGAAGGTGAATAAGTGGCAGAGCAAGATGATTAAGAAGCTGGCGCCAAGAAGATCAAGGTCTTGCAAGGGAGCCCACCTGAAGTCAGCCAATGAGGAGGTGCAGCAGCCAGATAAGAGGAGGAGATCAACCGGAGGTATTGAGATCCGTGAGCCCCAAGAAACTAATCAAGCTGCACGTCTCTCTCTTCATGAAAGCACGAGCAAGGATAAGGGCAAGGAGACCAGCCACGACACTCCTAAGAAGAGCAAGGAGTCTGGAGCAACCTCAAGCTCCAGCCTTACTTAGCTCAAAGGTACCAACAACCAAACCATTATAAATACCAAGCATCCTTTTCATTTTTTTTTTTTGCTTTGTGTTTTGACTCCTCTAGACTTTGTTTGCCACTGAGACGGTGTCATTCAAGTTTGGGGGAGTGTGTGTTATTTGACATGTTTTCTTTGATCTTATTTTGTGTTATCATCCCTTGAGTCATCATGCATCATGTAAGGCATAGAAAATACAAAAAAATGATAAAAAGTTTAAAAAGTTTCAAAAAAAAAAAATTCATGTAGCTTGCATTTGAACTGTTAAACATTTTAGGATTGAGTCTAGAATTTTAAGCATTTAGGTTGATTACATTTGCATAAGGGGCAAAAGTTTTCTTGAAAAGTGTTTTAATCTCATGAATTGTTTCAAGGCCCTAGTTAGTAGTCCTTTGATGCATTGTTCACACTTTGAAAGTAAGCTCTAACCATATTTGGATCATTTGTTTTGATTTTCGTGGCTTAAGTTGAATACTCATGAACTGAATCATTTCCTACTAAGTGAGAACCTTAAATTGAACTTTTAATTATCATACTTATGCATTTGAAAAAAGATACATGGATCACTTATATATATTTAGGCTTTCTTCTTCTTTTCACCACTCTCTTGTAAGCCTAAATAGACCTCGCCACCTTTACCCTACCCTCCTTTCAAGCCAATGTTCTTGTGTGATGAATCTTTGTGAGGCCTCTTTTCGGTTAGACTTAGCATAAAGTGTTAGGTTTAGGCGACATGATTAGGCTTTCATTGATGCTAGCTTTGCATTTTGAAGCTAGTTTTAGGCTTAATATAGGACGGGTATTCATGGGGGTTGATTTGTTTTTGTTTCGGTTTAAAGAGTTTGAAGTTTGGAAGTTGAATAAAAGAGTTTAATGGTTTTAAGTGGAAGGCTTTGTGTTTAAAAAAATGATTGCTCTTGTTTAAAAAGAAGGTAGCTCTCAAAGAAAAGAAAAAAAAGAAGAAAAAAAAATCAGAAAGGAAAAGATACATATAATCCCCAGAAGACGAAACTCACTTAGCTCCGGATGATCACACACTTTCGTAAACATTCTAAAATTTGATTCTGAATAGATACATATAATGCCTAATACAGGTATGGGAAATAATTCCTTTCTTGCTTGTTTGTTTAAAGCATTTTTTTCATGAGTCCATCGTTATTCTTTTTCTTAGTTTTTTTGCATGCTTTAGAATAAGTAATCTGTTTGAGATGTACTGAATTAAATGTTATTGAATATAAAAATCCAATGTAGATATATTGATTATGTTTTGTGATGATATCATATAATACTAAACGTGGTTGAAACGTAGTCATTTGTTTATCAATTTTTAAGATCGTATCATGTTTACAATCCCTCTTTTTGAGGGGATCCGTCTCTTAATAGTGTAGACCGATCCGTCTCTGAATAGTGTAGACCAATCCTCCTCCAATTTTTCAAAGATCATACATCAAAATTACATGCGTCTATATATATAACTGGGGTCAGCTTAGTATTCTCAACTCAAAACTTAGCTCGCCCAAAAAAAGAAAACGAAAACGAAAAATGGTTTCAGAGAAAAAGAAGAGAACACAGACTATGGATCGATATTTTTGTTCTGCCTCTTCTGTTTCATATTCGTTGCAGAAGGCATGAAGATGGAGAAGTCTTATTACTACCTCAAACAACACATCATAACCGTGACAGGCATTGCAGTAGCAGAAGCAGTCGCAGAAAGCTGTAGTAGACGGAAGCTGTAGTAGACGGAAGCTCTCGGTAGCGATCGGGGAGTGGAGAGAGCGTCCTCCAACTACTTACTCCGTCAAGTTCCAGTCTTTCCCGACCTTGGTGAAGCTGATGAAAGATGGGAAATACGAGTCCCTTCCTTTCACCGCCGGTGCATACAATTGGTATATATATGTATATATTATACGTCTCAAAAACCTGAATTTCTTTTAAAAATATTCTAATGTAATTATGACCTCCGTTTTGCTTGAGTAATTTAAAGGACGTTCATACTCTACCCCAGCGGCAACAATAAAGATGGCGTGAGTGGAACCATTTCGCAATATGTAAGAATCGATAATTCAAGTCTCATCACCAACCCAGAAGATGTGTTTGCAGAGGTCAAGTTCTTCATCTACAACAGAATGTTGAACAAGTATTATGTAAAAGGAGGTACCGTAACCATAGTATTTTTTTTTTCGATATAAGGCCTCCGCAATCGTAAAGTTAAATTGAAGAGGAATTATTATCTAAAATCTTAGGTTATGCAGTGCACTCACGAGCCAAACATTTTCGTTATTAATAGTAAAGAAAATGACATAAAAGAAACAAATTATTGTTGTAGAAACTGAGGCGAGGAAGTTTCATTTCTAATACGGAATATGGAGTGCATACTTTCACAACAGCGGGGGTCCAACTGCCGGAAAGGGGTTATCTTTTCGACGGAGAACATGTCCTGTTTGGAGTTGACGTATTTGTTGCTCAACCCAATAAGAAATGTGAACTTTTTTCCTTTGATGAACACATCTCGGACCCAATTTTCACTTGGAAGCTCATCAGATTCTCAACACTCTACAGTGACTCTTACACATCCGATCCCTTTTCTTCCGGAGTAAGAGACTGGTCACTCTCCTCTCTCTCCTTTCTCTCTCCATACAATATACACTACATATGGTTATCTACCAATCTATGTGCTAATAAATAATGTTAATGAAATAGGGTATTGAAGGTGTACCCAAATGGAGATGGTTATGGAAAGGGGAATTCATTGTCACTCTACTTGTTGAGCTTGTCTAGTGAAAAGCCATATGTTCGAGCCAAACTACGAGTTTTTAACCAAAACAAATCCAACCATGTGGAGAAGCAAGGTCGGTGTTTCTCACTATTTAAGTCCTTTGACTGACTTATAAGTGTTACGTTGTTGAAAACGGATGACATATTTTATTTTATTTTTGTTTTCTTATGGACAGTGGATGGCTGGTCCAATGTTGTTAACAATAACGAATGGGGTTTCCAGAAGTTTATACCGATTGAAGATCTTAAAGATCCATCTAAAGGATACGTGGTGGATGATGCGCTCAAGGTTGAAGTCGACATGATCGCCTTCTCTAAAACAGACCGGTTTCAGAGGAAATAGACAGTTAGAAATCCGTACGGGTTGGCATTTGGTTTATATTCATAGATAAGAACTAAAAGAATTCCTCCGTCTTTCCTTTTAATTTAGATAAAAGTTATATTTGTTTTGTTTCCACTAAAATTGTGACACCTTTGTTTCTGTAAGAGCAACGATTTGCAGATTTAATAAAGAGTTATCTCTGTTTCTTTCTTGGCCATCCTGATGAATCCCTCAAAATTCTATCTTCTTCTTACTTTTAGTTTGCTTCTCCTTTTGAGGTGCATTTGTACAATTTTGGCAGGCGCTTTGACGCAAATATTTTATTTAGCCTTCACTTCCAAGCGCTTACTTTTTAGTAGGTGGTTTTCAGCGCTTTGCATGCATAAATTAATTTTTAATATTAACATAATATTTTTAATATGAATATAATAAATTAATAATTACAAAGATATTTTGCAGAATAAAAAATAAGAATAACATTCATGCAATTTGAAAATTATTGTTATAAAATTAGATTAATATAAACACATCAAAACGTCGAATAACTTATCAATTTTATGTGAACAAATAACCAAAAAAAAACCTAAAATTTATAAAGTAATTGCACTAGATGGATTTAAATAATTTGATAATTAACTCACAAGTTTTTCGTCTCTCTTTATTATTGTGTATTTTCAAAAGATGATATATTTTTTTTATTATACTGTTTATTTTATTTTTCTCTTTTGTTTCTTCATTTTTTCTTTCCTCTTTCCTCTTTGCTTCTTCACAGATTCTTTATACCACGAAAATAAATATTAATAGTTGATTATTGATGATGGTGGTGATAACGCACCGATAATAGTGGAGGTGATTGATATACTCAATATTTACACCATAAAATTCAAATCGATCCTTTTTCTCGCTGATAGAGGAGAGTTAGGGGTTTGGACTTTGACTTCGACTTTGCGATCTCGTTTTTGAGGTGCTTTGTCGAGGTCCTCTTCCCTGTTTCTGGTCGAGATCTTTTTAAGCTTTTCACTTTTTCCTTCGGCCTTCTCGGCTTTCTCCTTGGCAAGCTTTTTTGCTAGGATTCTGGCTCGAGTTCGACATTCTTCGGTGGAATGTTTGTTCTTTTTGTGGTGTTCGTAATATTTGCTTTGGTCGAAGCTCGACTCCTTTTCGGGGGACGAGCTTTCTATAACCTATGAATGCTGACCTTTGCCTTGCGACTCCCTTTTGGAAGGTGGAACATTAGCTTTACTCGACCTGGAAGGTGCGAGTTAGAGCTGTGAGTTGGGGTATTTTGCTTCGCATGCTGCCGTTTCGTCATCGAAGTTAGCGAATATGAACGCACAATGGAGTGTGTCATCGAGTGAGTCCGTAGGTCGAAGCGTGAGCTCCGCCTTGTACCAAGGTTGGTTCGGAGGGCGAGCAGAGCTGCTGCTTCATTAGAGTTAGCGATTTTTACTTTGATCGCCTTGAACTTAGCAATGTATGATCGAAGTTGTTTGTCTGGAGCTTAGACTAGCTTCCAGAGGTCGGCTTCGATTTCTCGTTTTTCAATGAAGATCAAATATTGCTTGAGGAAGGCTATTGCGAGCTCGTTGAAATTCGAGATCGAATTTTCTTCCAGCGTCGCGAACCATTCTTGAGCTGGTCCGACTAAGTTTTCGGCGAAGAGTCTGCAGTTTCCCGCTTCTTTTTCTTCTAGCGAGAAATTAGCTCGGATAGCTGCGAGATTAAAGAGTTGGATGTGAGCTTTTGGGTTGATGTTTCCAGTGTACTCCAGGACTTGTACTTTAGTAGTATCTCAGAGGTACATGTTCATGATCGGGTAAGTGAACGGAGTCTGTTGGGTCTCGCGAATTATTCGATCAATGTCAGGAGCCGAGCTCGTTGCTTGGTGGAACATAGAGTTCATCTGCCGAATTGCATAGTCGGTCTGGTTCTGGAACCTTTCAAAGGATTCGCAGTCGACTAGGTTTCCTGAGCCGACGCCGTGGTGGTTAGCCCGAGTCGGATCATTTGGAATCTGAGTTCCAAGCTGTTGGTGAACGAACCCTATAGGTTGTTCACGGATCCCGTTGGGAAGTCTCGAGCTCGAGGTCGTGTTCAGTTGTTGACTGAACTCGGGTGGTGTCTGCGAGCTCGTGGCGAAGGCTGAGGACCCAAGCCATCTCTATCGAGGTGGCTCGGTTCCAAGTGGTCTTAAAGGTGGAGATGGATATCTCGTGTTGGGACGGGTCCCATTTTGGGTATTCCTGGTGTTGGCATAGGCGGAGATGGATATCCCGTCGCAGGACGAGCTCCCATCTCTGGTATTCCTGGAGCCGGAATATCCGAGGTGATTGGTGTCTGGCTCGCTGCGGGGGCGAAGTTTGGTGGACCTGGAGCACGCAGAGGTGTCACGAATTGTCCGGATGGATTACTTGGAGCAGGGATCGATGAAAAGTTGAGCTTAGTCCGTGGAGGTGGACTCACAGCGGATCGAGCTGCGGCTTGACGCCTTTCCTGTCTTTCTAATATGATCTCCTGATCTCGTTGTCGATCGATCAGATGTGTGAGCATTTGGAGTATCTCCGCCGACTCTGATGTGCTCCTAGAAGCTACGGGTATTGACGGGGAAATAGGAGCTGCTCGGCTCTGAGACGCCGACGCTGCAGGTGGATTCTCAGATCACACCCATGATCGAGAGGGAGGCCTCTCGGCTGTTTGTGACTGATTACTCGTCGTCCCCGGTGGGGTTGACGAGGTTGATCATGATCGATTTCACACGGCTGGAAACGTTGGAGTTCGTGCCGGTGGTGTCGACAAAGATCGTAACCCTGGGTTCGTTTCCGCCGGCTGTCTGGCTAACATTGCCGGTCGGAGTAACTTGATCTGGAGAGATCGGAATCAGTAAGACGTTTTTCGAGATTTGTTGAGTTGAATCCATTTCGGTTTCAGCTGGCTTAGGATCTGCACTTGAGTAAGAGAAATCTATAGATCTTCCCCACAGACGGTGCCAAAATATGGATACAGAAATTCACACTCAGAAATTTATGTGTGTTTGTAAGGAAAGAACTTTAGAGGATGAAAAGCTAGATTCTCTCGAACAGATTGATAGTATAAGCTAGCACTAACTGAAATAAGGATTTGATATTAATCGGTTGAATGAAACGGTTACAAAAATTTCGATAGAAAAGATGAACTGAAAAGAGCATTGAGAACAGTTACAGAGTTTCGGGTGAAAAAAGTGTAGTAGAAGATCAAGCCGAAGATCTCCTAAACTAAGCCATTTTTCTCCTTTATATAACTCGCCTCGCTGAGCTTCAAACTCCAGTGCGTATCTCGATCACGTGCAGCGGCTTCAGCCGGAAATCTTGCCACGTGCAGCAGCTTCCTCCGCGATCTTCGGACTCAGCTTGAACTGGCGAGAATATGCTCTGACTCGGCTCGGATCCTTCTTTATTTCTTGGGATTTGGTCGAGCTGGAGTACGACCTCGTCGAACAGAATGTCTTATTATTCGGGATTAGATCGTCGAGAGCTGAATGGACACAGACCGTAAGGTCGAAGCCCAATCAATTTGGCTTAGTTTGGATCTGTCCTTGAGTGAGCCGGATACAACAACAATATTTTTTTGAAATTTGGCCAAATCTATTAAACCAAATTCTAGTTAAAACCAAACCCAAAATTAGATCCAAATCCTTAAAACCAAATTAATTTGATTGAAAACCAAACCCAAAGTTTTTGAAAACCAATACCAACTTTTTTTTTCACGAAACCAAAATCAAAATTTTGAAAACCAAAACCAAAATTTTCGCAAAACCAAGTCTAATTTTGGTTCAAGTGTTTCGCGAAACCCTTCTTCTCCCTAACACTTCCATTGCGTAACCTTAATCCCCAATTCTCTGATTTCTCTCTGGTTTCTCTGATTTATCTCTGGTTTCTCTCTCGATTCTCTGATTTCGATTCTCAGAAACAACCCAAATCCCTGATTATCTGTCTATCACAACCCCCAGAAGGAGGCCTTCTTTGCCTTCCACCTAAGCTGCGCAGGAAAAGCCCAAAACCAATCCCAGGGAACAGTCTCTCTTTCTAATTTCTGATCTCTCTTTCTTTCTCATCGAATTTGTAACCCTACTCCCCAACTCCAATCACATTTCGTAACCCTAATCCCTTAATCGAATTCTTTGATGGCTAACGGAGGTCGGGGTAATAGAGGACAAGGAAGAACCACTCCCAACATATCTCAGAGACTAGGAGTCTCCACGCCATCGATAACTCCCACCCCTCTACCAAGTCAATATAACTTCACACCATCATCCCAAGCTCCGGTAACCCAGTTGGCCCAATGTCGTGCTCCCCTCAACTCAGCTCAACCACATTTCGCATGTAAAGATTTTCCAGAAATCGGGAACTCCTCATTGCTTCAAAATCACAACTCTCCTTCGCCTCCACTTCAGCATCCTCCAGTGTCTCCACTTCAAAACTCTCAAGCTCAGAGTAATACATCTTCGGAAGGAAAAAGCTTCCATGGTGAAGACGATGGAAGACCTCCAGTTGAGCCGGTTCTCCAAGAAGACCTTGTGCATGTTCTGAATTCTCTTCTTCTGGTGCCAGGCCGGGAAGAATTTACCACCATTCTATCTCCCACACTGAAGCCAAACACTACTTGGTATAACTCTTTACACTTGATATAATCTGAGTTTTATTTAGGCGTATAATCTGAGTTCTATTTAGGCGTATAATCTGAGTTTTATTGCAATTTATGAATGTTTTTTCCTAAACTGCAATTTTATGATATTATGATATTTCTGCAATTAGTGAGATTAGCTATTTCTATGAAGTGTCAAATATTTTTTTGTTTCAAATCGTTTTTAAAGTTTCAAACCAGTTTTCTCTTTACTTGTACTTGCTAAAGTGAAAGCTTCGTTTCTCTGTTATCTTTACTTGTACTTGCTTGAGTGTGATCTTCATTTCTCTGCTTACTTGTTATCTTTACTTATACTTGCTATGTTTACTTTTTTATTTTTGACTGCTTCTGAATATGATTGTTTGTTTGCTTTTAAGTCTTTTGGTGTTTACTCCTTTCTTTACTTGTTTCTTTTTATTCACTCTCAATCTTTTTCACTTGTTTGAAGGTTTGATCACGACAAGGGAGCAATCGTCCGATATATTACTAAAGTCTTCTGTTAGCTGGCATTATCTCATCATATTAGACTTCATTTAGTATAGATTTCCATTTCA